GCACTTGTTACTAGGAGCAAGCAGCTATTAGCTTATTGTTTCTACTAGCTTCTTGTTACTACTTAGTAAGGCACTTGTTACTACTAGCGATGCACTTGTTACTAGGAGCAAGTAGCTATTAGCTTATTGTTTCTACTAGCTTCTTGTTACTACTAGTAAGGCACTTGTTACTACTAGCGATGCACTTGTTCCTAGTAGCTTCCTACCCCCCCCTCGCGCGCGCGCAGGAAAAGGTCCTAGTAGATTCCTTTGCTAGTAATTACAAGTGCCTCGCTAGTAGTAACAAGTGCCTTACTAGTAGTAACAAGAAGCTATTAATTCCAATTAAATTCTTATTGTTACTAGTAGTAAGGCACTTGTTACTAGTAGCTTCTTGTTACTACCAGTAAGGCACTTGTTAGTAGGAAAAGGGACGTAACTCTCGCCGTCCAAGGAGCCCAGGTGCCAGTCCTGCCACCCCACCGAGGAGCAGCACTCGCCCGGCAGACCTGGAGTGCCCAGTGTTTGGCGTCGGTTTTCGCCCAGCAAACCGGGCGCTTGAGGCTTGCGGCGATGTCTTTCGGCACCAGGATCGAAAGAACATGGGAGCTCTAGTTGTAAGTCCTTGAGCTTTAAGCTGAACATAGCTGAACTATTCACACCCAACAGCAATGACGTGTCATAACAAGAACGCAGCTCTGGATCTTGATAGAACTTCTGTGTAGATACGCCTCGAGACAACACCCACACGCTTCAACCGCCTGAGCCGCATAGACTTCCAGCTCTCCATGGCGGATGGGACCCCGAGCTGAGCCGACAACGCTTCGGAGTCACGCCTTCGACTGCGAAGCAAGTGGAAACGCTGTCTCGATGTGTTTTTCCTTTGGATTGTGCTCATGTAGAAGCTGCAGGTCTGCCATTCCACCTCTATCTTCCCACACATGTTCTCAGTGCCATGCATAGGTGGCACCGCCAAACTTCAGCTCGTTCATCGTGTAGAAGCCGATGACCTCCACACCGGAGCACGACCCCCACGAGCCCCTCGTAGCGCCCTTGCTCCTAGTAGCGATGCCCTTTGCTACTAGTAGCAATGGGGTTATTGAGCTCATCTGCTTCCCAAAAAATCTAGGAACCAAATCATTAGTGCGTGAGCTATCCTGCGTCCTGTCTGTAGTAGCTAACAAGTAAGGTAGTAGCTACCTCTCTAGCTACCTCTTCCTACCTAGCGGCTTACCCCCCAGCCCCGGGCTTAAAAAGAAACAATGCTAACTTCCATGTGCCTTTTCTGACTTCTATATAGAGTCGTCCCGTGGCAATGGAAGAGAGAGTTGGGGAGTCCACAAGCGGATGACGAGCGATGGATAAGATTCTTAGAGTTTGAGGTGGAACTTCCAGTGGAAGAGAACTAGCTCAATTTGATGTTCATGTTCAAAAGCTATCCGCGCGGTAAAAACGGTAAACATCAAAACATTTATGTTTTTACCGCTTTAGTTGGGGGGGCAAACGGTCCTATTTTTAAACAACCTTTTTTAAGGGAGTGTCGCCCCTTTTTCTTCTACCATATCCGCGGTAAAAACGGTAAGCATCAAAAGTTTTCGGTGCAAGTGATGTAGGTTTTCACTACCTTGCAAAAGTTAAAAGTCATTAAATGTTGATCAAACATCAAACTCCTCTTGTCGAAAAGAGCACACGCTCCTATATGATAGGAGGGGTCAACGCCACCAGATTATAGGAAGATACCCAAGAGCTGTATGTAACATTAAGCCTTTTTGTTTACAGAGGTCTTCTAGCTTGCGACCTGTTCCCGAGGCATCCTCGCGGTAAAAACGGTAAACATCGGACATGTTCGTGTTTTTACATGTTTTTCTGCCGGGTCGCGAAAGGGTACCCCTTAGCAAAAAAAATGCTCGCGAACCGGCTTAGTTCAAAAGCAATTGGGAGGCAAAGCATGCGCATTATCGGCTTCCCAGTTTGAGCAGGGCGATCTCCGGTCCATCCAAGTCCACTTCTTGCCTTCGCTTGGAAGATAAACATGATCGGCGACAACGTCAGCACTTGCTTCACCAAACGCACCGTCGAGGTCACGATGCCCGCCTCACGGTCAGACGGCCAAGTCCATCCGGTCAACTCGTCCACTTCGTTTTCGGTCGATGGGGTCAACGTGCGCACCCAGACCTCCATCCAAACCTCGAAGAAAATGGGTGCCATCTGCGCCAGGAGGAACAGGATCAGCAACTGGCCAGAGTAGATGTACTGCCAGGCTTCCGCCATGACAGACCTGAGAAACATCACAGCTCGGACCATAGAGTTGATTGATGCACGTGTTTGCGGATGCACTCCCGAATCTTTGGGTGCTTGGAATTTCACTCGCTATCATCCGCTATCAGCTTCTTTGCTTCAAACCACTCCTAACTCCTGAGGTTCCCACGCGGCACTCTGGCTGCCGACGATGCACCTGAAGCTCTCACGAAGCAGCCACTGTGGACTTGCGATTTTGCCGATCTGGGGTCTGCGCTTGATGGAGAGGTCGTTGGAGTCTTCACATCCGTTCAGGAGTACCAAGAGCCACACCAGCGTCAACACTGGCAACCCCCATGAGACCTCAGGCTCCATCGATTCCCCCATCGTATTAGGTTGGAGGCCATCGCTGGCGATTTCTGGCGATCCCGGCCGACCACTGCGACAGGTAGTGGCCCATGTGAGCGTAATAAAACCTGGCAGCGTGGCGTCGCGTGCCGGTGATGAGGCGCCGACGTGGGGTGAGACTTAGGCTAGGCCGGCTGAGGTCTCCAAATGAGAGCAGATCTAAGCGAAAGTCGAAGTTGTGTCTAGTGTGTGGCCGCACTGACCCTCATGCCAGCGTGGCGACAGGAACTCTGGCAGTGGCAGAAGGTTGCCCAAGCGGTTGGTCTGCCTGGTGATCCTCAAGCCCAAGGCTCAAATGAACACGTTAGTCTCAACTTGATTGGTTGGACCGCTCCACAGCAAAATGCTTTGGTTGCGCCATCCCGCAGTGTACAGTCAACTCCGTTTGAATCCGATTTTCTGTTTGCATTCTTCTTTTCTTCCAAAACCTGCTCCCCGAAAGAACCTTTGAAGCGCATGTGTGGCGCCCGCTCGCCAGCGTGCGATTTGCACTTCACCACCTCAACCTGAACTTCGAACTGCCGCTAAGCGCTGGACAATTGTTCCCCTGCTCCAGAGGAAAGCTTTGAGAAGAAGGCTAGAACCTCTGCGCTTGGACTGAACCGAAAGCCACTGCAGTGCAGGCAAGCCTTGATTCATGTCGTCACCCTCAAGTTTGGTAGGACAAGTTTTGGACATTGCATATGGCAGCTAAGGAAGCTACTAAGGGCTCCTGGCATCGCTACTAGGAGCAAGGAAGCTAGGACCAAACTCTAGAGTCTAGAGCTCCATGAGGCTGAGACGGTGTTGAAGCCCAAATCACGACCTCTTGGAGTGCGACACGACGTCGCGTCGCGTCGTGTCGAACGCGCCACGACCGCTCCACGGTTCAGTCGTTTCGGTCCAAAGCGATGGCCCAAGGCCCCGCGCCTTTCGCCAAGTGGAAGTACTCGCGGTGCTTGATGCTTCGACCTTGCCGTGCTCATCTCGAATACGCGAGGGAGACCGGTGGAAGGCTAACGCGCAGAGTTCAGGCGATTTTGGACTGCTAAGAGGAACCCCAAGGAAGATGTCAATGAAAGCCGCCGAAAACCGTCAGTTGCTTCATGTTGCTTCATTCCCGCACGTCCGGCCCAAAGCATTAAAAAGAGACGCTACTAGGGGCTCCTGGCCTTGCTACTAGGAGCAAGAAGCTTTGTGCGGACACATCGACCATCGACCCATCCGACCAAGTTCGCCTCCACCTCGGAGGACAAAGTCCATTCCGGCGAAGATGTCCTCTTGCACGAGGCCGACGATCGAAGGAAAAGAGTTCTCCAAAGAAGAACGGTTCAAACCCTCATTCATGCTTTCTCGCCGCATTCTTTCCCAACTCCCCCAACTCCCCCTTCCTGCCAAGCTTTGCACGAGAAACAAGCACCCTCCGTCGAGAACAACACATCGCGAAAAGAAACGCCCTTGTGCCCTCCAGCTTCGCCACGAGCCTCCGAAAGATTCAGGGTCTTGGTGGCCTTTGACACGCCTCCCTGCTGCATCATATACTCCTTCCGGTCCAGCTCGCTGAAAATCAACCAGAGGTGGAGAGGAGGCAATGCCACAAAGGCTCCAAAGAAATGACCGGTTCTCTTGGTGCGAGCGTGAAGCAAACTGACTTCAAAGGCGGCAAAACTGAGCCAAAAACACCGCTTCTCAGAGCGCCTTATTCATGATGTCTGGGTGGCCATAGTGCATTCGAGCCTGCGGATGGGCTTCGCGCGGGCTCGATGACGTCTGGTCTCACCCTGACCATCAAATGCAGAAATACCCGAAATCATGCGCTGTTTTTTTCAACTTCGAGCCGAGCTGAAAGATGCCACTTTTCGGCGAAGATTCTGCTCTTTCGGCCACGCTGAGCTATGTAACACGCGGCTCGGTACAGGAGAACAAGCACCGAGGTCGACATGGCGTGGACGCTCATGGACTGTCCAAAGTTCCTCCCAAACACCCCCAAATGCTTAGGGTTTTCACTTGAGTCGTGTATGTTTGTGGCAACACGACTGTCGATCTTGCGATGGTCGACCTGACTTCTCCAGCACCGTGCATGTTTCCGCCATTGCACTGGGCGAAGCTGTTTGAGCTCCTTTGTTGCTGATGCGCCCTCTCCATTCTGCAACACCCAAATGAACATGTGTAAACATGGGCAAATGCTCAGCTTGCCCATGCAATAGGAAGAAACAAGGGTTTCAAGCAGAACACGCTTGGTCTGTCAGACTAACCCTCTGGTGAATTCGATGCCTTCACACGCAGCCTGTTCAGCTTCATTGTGTCTGAGTCTTGCGTAAGAAACAAACTCCTTTTCCTACACCAAAGGGCTCCTTAGAGACGCAAAAACATCCGCATGTATCTGCTGGGAGGCTCACAGGTGACTTGGAGGACTTCCAAAAGTACCACCCACCCAAATGCAACACTACAAAAAAAACGCAGCAATCTTTGAAGGATGCTTGAAAAAGTCTTGCTATCGCCGCCTCGTCAGGGTGTCTTAGACCCCTTTAGGTGCCTTCTCTTTGCTCACCTGGCGACAGCAGGATGACGGCTCCTTGAAGCGACGAATGACATCGCCATTTCGCGGCTCCACATCGTTTTTCTTCCTTTCCTTTCCAGACATGGTTCTCGGTTTAACGCTTTGCTTCCCGCCTTGTGAGGACACCTCTTTAACTCCTTTAACTCCTAAGAAGGCCACGTCTGACGAAACTGGTCACCTCCACTTCTCAACTGGTCACCTCTGGTCAACTCTTGTGCTTCACAAAGGCAATCGCGGCAACCACTGGGGATGCCACATCCTGCCCTCGCATATGAAAAGTTCCGCACCCGCATGCGCCACGCCGCCCCTGTCCGAGTCGAAAGAACGGCTGAGCTTCCCGACCTGTCGGTTGAAATCACATGCCAAGGCATAGTCAAAATGCCACCTACATGCGGAAGGCACGGAGGCCTGCCCAGAAATGATGTCCCCGTCGCATGGTTCAGACTGGGCCCCTGTTCGTTTCGGCCCATCGCGCCGGACGCATCCGAGGGGCGTCATCCGTGCGGCGGCCAAATGGCCGAAAAAATTCGCACCAGGTCTTCTTCCGTTCGGCTGAATTGTGCAGGTTCTCGCCAGCATAGGTGGTGAGCATACCGGTTCTGAGCGGGCACTCCAAAGGGAGTGTCCAGGGGTTGGGTGCAGCGGCATGCGTGCCATGGGGGCCTACCCAGAAAGAAAATCCAAGTCAAATTCTTGCTCCACTTCATTTAGTTGGGAGTTGGGGGTTACTAGGGTGCCCAAGTTTTCAAGTGCGGAAGAAGGTCTTTGGATGTGTATTCAAGCAGGGACATTTACAACACTTCATCCAAAGTCACGTCTCTGCATACCCTGAGGGTGCGGCTCTCGGCGGATGTCCTGGAAAAGTCGTGCTCTCGTCGGCGACCGGCGGGATATGACAAGTGATTTTGGTGAATTCCAGGAATTCCACAATAAGACTGCTGCGCCCTGCAATAATCATGGAAGTGGAAAACCATCTAGTTCCCAATTCTGCCCAGACCCAATGTTCAGTTCTCTTTGTGAAATATGACAAGCAGGGAAGTCCCGTGCCCGTGCCGTGCCGGTAGCAGTGCCCGTGGAACACATGATGTCTTCCTGCATACCTGGCGCCCTTTTACGGGCCACGGACTCGAAAACCAAAAAACAAAACTGGGGTGTGAAGAGCGCCAACCGAAGTGGGCCACATGCACGCTAGCTAATGTCAAGAACGTCATGCTCAAGAACGTCATGTCAAGCTAGGTGCGCCGATGCATTCTTGGGGAAAGCATCAGACGCGCACACTCTGACAATTGTATTCAGTTAACTCAATTCCCAATGAAAGGAATGGCTCAACGGTAAGGTGAGGAGTCTGATCAATTGAAGGTGTTTCAAACAAAAGGTTTTTTGCGCATCTGCAGACTCACGACAGCAGCGGACGAGCGGCGGCGCAGCTGCTGGGGAAGAGTAGGCTTGTGGGAAGTATCATGAACAACCATGGAAGCAAACAAAAAAGATTGGAAAAGCGTGGGCAAAAGTTTAAAACTGTTGCAGGTACGTGAGTCGAGCGTCCTCAACTCATATCACGGGAAACGTGCAGCGTCTTCGTTGGTCGCTGACTGCACGAATCCCCAGCGACCCCCTGCTTGAACGTGTGTTGGGTGGATCGGCTGAAAGAAACCCTTTGTCCAGGGGTGGACACACACAGATCGCCGTTGTCGGCGCTTTTTTCAAAAACCGGTGGCAGGCGTGGTGGTTGTGTCCTTTTTGGACATAAAGCCTCACTAGCTCGGCGGCAGCAGCTTCAGCGCTGGAGGGTGGAAATGTGTATTTTCGAATGGTGTGGAGTCTGGATTGGAGGCCTGACAGCGCCAAGCGCTGGCTCCCGGCAGTGGTGGAATCCCTGATTTTCCAGGGTTGGGAAGGTTGCATGTAGGTGATGGTGCGTTGTTGGAGGTCGATATTGAAACCCAGGAGATGGAAGTCGTCCACAGGTTCGAGCTCCACTGGGTCGCCAAAGAAGTTGTGGTGGATGAGGGTTTGGATGGCGGGATGGTGGAGGAAATGTTCGTTGTGTACAATGAAGCGGTTGTCCACGTATCGGTAGTAGGTGAAATGTAGGGCAGTGTGTTGCAGCAAGTTGTTGTGGATCTGGTGCCAGGAGTGTTCGATGAGTGTGATGGCTACATTGCATAGGGCTGGAGAGAGTTGGGAGCCAATCCCAGCTCCTCGGATTTGCTTGTAGGTGTTGTTGCAAGCCCGGAAAATGCAGGTGTTGAGTGCAAAGGCCACGATGGTGGTGATGTCGGATGTCTGGATGGTGCGTTGTGTGGGGTGCTTGCGATGGTGTCTGCCGATATGGGAATGGTGGAAGGGGTTGCCAGTGGCGTGGACGTCCACTGTGAGGGTGTGGGTGGATTGCTGTTGTTGCCAGTGGTGAATCATGGAATGTACTGCATCAATGAGTCTGTGTTGGGGGACTGAGTTGAAGAAGCCGACCAGGTCATCGTTGGTGGCGCACAAGGAAATATCTGCTGGGGTTTGGGTGAGGTAGCTGTGGAAGTGGTGCCAAAGTTGTGGGATGGACAGTTGTCCTGGATGTTGGGGGTAAAGGTGTTGAAGGATGATGTCGAGGGCACGGCTGGTGATGCGGAGTAGGTTGCCGCTGAGTGAGTGGAAGTAGGAAATGATGGTCCGGCCTTTTTGCCACTGTTTCTTCTCCTTGAGGTGGACCACGCCGTAGGGGATGTTGAAGTCTTTGTGGAAGCCCCACTTGTAGCGGGCGCGCAAAATGGGTGGGACAGTGGCTGTGAGATGGTCGTGGATGTTGGCGGCTGTGAGGTAGGGAAGTGGTTCAAAAAGTTCAGGGGATTGCCACGTGTTCAAGGCGCCAGTGAAATATTGGCGGGGGCAGAACAAACGGAGCTGTTGGAGTTCATGGTCGGCATGGTGAAGTACTGTGTTTTGGCCGAGGTATTCTTGAAGTTGGCGAAGTAGGCGAGCCGTGAAGCGGGGTTGTTGTTTGAGGTGCGTGTTGTGGAGGCGCCATTGGTGCTCAAGGAAGGGCTGCAGGTGTTGCACGAGGGATGGTGGTAGTCCCTGCAGCCGGAGCCATTTTGTGTAGGCGGTCTGGAAAGTGAGGAAGTAACGAGCCTTGCTTGGATAGTAAGTGCTGTTCATGTTGGCGTGGAGAAAGATGCTGAGGTGTGTGGGGAGGTGAAGTTGATCAAGTGTGAGAATGTAATGGCCGTTGGTAGTGGGTGTGTCGGGATCTTGCAGTAGGGTTCGAAGATGATTGCAGGCGCAGGGTAGGTCTGCCGGGTCTGGTGGGGAATGGAGGGTGTCCTCCCAGGTGCGGTGATTGTGCAGTTGAGATCGGAGAGTTTTGTGTGCCGCTTCACGTAAGCGATGCGAGGGGAGGTGGAGGGGAATGGTCAGGTGTTTGTGCTGCTGAATGGTGGTACGGAGCCACTGTTGGCAGTGCTTGGTGAAATCCTCGTGAGCCAGGAAAGGCACTGTCAATGGGATGTTCGGTTTGGGTGGTGTGAGGTTGCGATATAGGAGGGCTTTGTTGATGATGTGGAGAGCTCTACTGCGGCCGGGCTCTTCCAGGTTAGCAGCCATGCGCCGGATGGCGTAGACTTCAAGGTCAGTGTGGCGGCCGCTGCGTAGTTCTTTGGCTGCTTCAAAGGAGGCTGCTGTATGTTTGGTAAGGTTTCGGAGGAGGGTAAGAGAGTGATGCTTGGTGGAAGTGTAGAGGTGTGGTTCGTTGAGGGTGTGTTGGCGTTGTCGTAGGCGTCGGAAAAGACGTTTGCGGGTGGCCAATCTGGAATAAAAATGCGCTCTGTGCTTTGTGAATTGCCATCCTTGAGCCTTGAGTTTGAGGTGGTGTGAAATGAATGGCCAGTTGAGTGTAGGCATCCAGTTGAGGATATAGTGGTGTTCCTGAATCCAGGCTTGGTCATAGGTGTCATGAGATGTAAGTTGGATGGTGGTATAGTGGCGGATGTTGTTATGCGAATGCCAGTAACGTAGGGACAGTTCTGCTGAAATTGGGATGTTGTTCTGGAGTTGTTTTAGTTTGGTGCGGCGGTTGTGTTCGCGGTGGGGGATGCCAATAGCTGTGGAGCCGATGTAGAAGTCGCCATGCTGGTGGTAGCAGCGATGGGGTGGCTCTGGGTTGAAGTGGAGTTTTATGTAGACTGAATTGGAGGAGAGGAAGTTGTGGTAGTGGTATGTGTGGGGTAGGATGTGGAGCTGGCGAAAACGGTTGCGCCACTGTTGTGAGCGACGGGTGTTGGATGGATATGCAAAGAGCAGTGTGATGTGGATAAGGCCTGTGGCGAAGATGGCTTCGGCTCGGTCGATGTATTGGGTGTGGTGGATCAGAATGGAATGCAAGTGGAAGAGGTGTTGCATGGTGGTGTGGCTGGGTTGCTGCTGGCTGAGGACAGCGAGTCAGCAGCCGATGGCTGCCCCCACACTCACCAGGTGTTGCAAGCTTCGGATGGGGAGGCGATTGACCCGGTTCAGTGGGAGGCCGTAACGTGTGGCGGCCTCTTTCAACTGCTGAGTGGTGACTTTGCTTGTTTGCAGCAAGCGCAAAACCTCATTAGCTGCTTCTTGGACGGTGGGGTCGAAGGTGGTGACCCAGTGTTGGATATCAGAGTTGTTCCAGCTGTCTGGGACGTCATCCTTGAGGGTTGGGTGTGGAGGGTGCAGGACGTCAGACAGGACAGGTGGCTTGGGCGCTGGTGGAGTGGGTGGATGGGGTGGGGCGGCTGGTCCCGATGCGTGGCTGGTGCTCTTCACGGGAGTGAGGGGTTCGCCCAAGTTGTGGAGCTTCTGTTTTGCGCGGGCCAGCTCATCCGTGGTGTTCTTAAGGGCTCGTAGGGCTGTGCCCTCTGCCGGTGCCGGTGAGTGGGATTGGAGTTGTTGGATGAGGAGGTTGATCAGGGGAGCGTGGAAAGCCCGTGCGTGTGTTGTTTTGCTGGGGATGTCAGTTCTTTCTTTGGTGTGGAGGGTCTCGGCAATGCCGCCCAAGTCCAGGCGTTTCTCTCGGAGCTCTTGGAGAAAGTGGGTGGCAATAAAGGGCGATGTTGCCGACAGGGCCTGTGTGACCTGCGTTGATGTAGGCAACTTCTCTGTGGGTGGAAGTGGCACGGGAAACGGGTGGTGGGTCTGGAGTGGTGGCTTTGGTGTTGAGGTAAGGTAGTGAAATGGCGTTGTATTGGAACTGATCATACTGGTTGGTGGTTTCATTCCACTTGCAGTGGGTGTATTGGCGAAAGTCCGTGATGTCTTTGTAGGTGATATTGCAGTCGGAAAGTAGAGTGGCGAGGTAGTGGTGTTGGGGTCGGTTGGGGGAGTCCAGTTGGTTGGCATGAAACTCCAGCCAATCGAGGAGTTGTTCTTTTGGTGACAAAGCGGAAAAATTGGGTGGAGGTCGCCAGCGGTTGGTTGGGCGACGAATCGCTGGTGTGGATGGGTATTTGGAAGTGTCGGTGTTGGCGTTGTCTGCTGTGGAGGCATCTGTATTGGGTCGCAGGTCAATTGGGTGTCTGGAGCGGCTGCGGGAGGGCGTGGAGCTGTAGGTATAGGTGGATGTGGATGGCGAGCGGTGTCGCCGGGAGGAGCTGTGGTGCTTGGAATGGCGGTGGTGTCGGCGCCGGCGGCGATGTCGATGGCGGCCGCTGCGGTGGTGATCCGACTTGCGCCGGCCTTTGTGATGGTGGCGGCGACTGCTGTGGGGTGGCTGGGGGGATGGTGGTGCTGGTGAGGCGGTGTTGTCTGGTTTGTCTGTCTCTGGTGCTGGAAGCACAGTAGCTGGTGGGGCTGATGCGATAGACGGTGTCGGAGAGGGTTGTGATCCAGTAGCAGTGGTGGCAATGTTTGGAGTTGGAACTGTAGGATCCATTGGTGACGGTTGTTGGTGTGCTGGCGGAACTTGTGGTGAGTCGCCGATGGCTAGTGAAGGTTGAGATGGTGGTGGAGGCAGAGGTTGTGTAACTGGGGGAAAAGCTGAGTAAGGTTGCCAGACCCCTTGGGGATGTGCCACTGAGGTTCGGTTGTAGGATGAGCTGGATGTGCTTGTTGAGGTGCGGGGAGCGACTGGAGCGGTGTAGTGTGGGTGGGATCAGCAGGTGGTGTGTGGTGCAGTTGTTGGACAAGGTAAGAAGGAGGAGGTGCCGGTGAGGGAAAAGCGGGTGGTGGTTGTGTGGGTTGCGGTAAAGGTTGAGGAGAGTGCTGCGTAAGTGTCCGGGCGGAGGGATTGCCAAAGGGCATTGTGGTTGGAGTTGAAATGGTCATGGGCGGTGGAGCTGGAAATGCTTGATGTTGTGGCATAGGGTATGTCAAGGGTTGTGGGTACGGAAAGGCTGGTGTAGTGTGTGGTTGTGGCAGCGGTACTGTCGGTTGTGTTGCTGCAATGGGGAGTGGCGGTGGTGTGGTATGTGAGTATGGCCAGGGATACTGCATGAGGTTGTCGAGGAAGTTGGTGAAAATTCGTCACAGCTGTATAGAAAAGCAGTCTCAATGGCGGGTGGCGCAGCGGCGGAGACTGTGAAAGGTGTGGTCTGTCATGGTGGAGATCGTACTGCTCTTGTTGAAGGTAAAAGTGCTTGTTGTAGGGCGGTGAAAGCTGTGGTATGCAGGATGTAATGTAATGTTAGGGTCATGCAAAACGAATTAAATCGTGATGCTCAGGTTGGCTAGCTTGAGTTCTTCATGCGGACAAATCATGTCAAGAATGCGCAAAAACGGCAAATCACGGCAGAACCCGTCAGAGAAACAATTCCCGTGGTAAGGCTCGGCAGCCGTTGCATCAGTTGATTCTATGGTTGTGTCGATGACTTCCAGTGGAATTCCCGTGAAAAGTGGTTAGGTCGGTTAATGCTTTCACAGTGAGACAGCGCCCCAATGACGGGGATCACACTCAGCACCCGAGTGGGACGGCTGAGCGAAACACACTCTGACAATTGTATTCAGTTAACTCAATTCCCCGATGAAAGGAATGGCTCAACGGTAAGGTGAGGAGTCTGATCAATTGAAGGTGTTTCAAACAAAAGGTTTTTTGCGCATCTGCAGACTCACGACAGCAGCGGACGAGCGGCGGCGCAGCTGCTGGGGAAGAGTAGGTTTGTGGGAAGTATCATGAACAACCATGGAAGCAAACAAAAAAGATTGGAAAAGCGTGGGCAAAAGTTTAAAACTGTTGCAGGTACGTGAGTCGAGCGTCCTCAACTCATATCACGGGAAACGTGCAGCGTCTTCGTTGGTCGCTGACTGCACGAATCCTCAGCGACCCCCTGCTTGAACGTGTGTTGGGTGGATCGGCTGAAAGAAACCCTTTGTCCAGGGGTGGACACACACACACACCCTTGCCATTGGTTGCAAAAGGTCAAAGGCATAGGCCCGAAGGCGCTTAGCCAGATGGACTGAAAAAGTTTTCCTAACACCTAAAAAACCTCTAGAAACGAAAGGAAACCTGGAGAGAAACGAACGACTCCTAGAAGGAGAAAAAGTAAGACCGTGCATGAACTACTCAGTGTGAAACCGACGAGTGACTACTTAGCACTCGAAAAAAACTGAAGCGAAAAAAGCCTCTAGCAAAGAAAGAAGAGCGAGAAAACAAAGAGGAGCAGAAAGAGAAAAAACAACAGCAAGATGAATACTTAGCCGCATGCATGTCATGTCACCCTGTGGGAAAGGCAGTGGGCCCTGCGGCATACATTCTGCAACCTCGAGCAGGTGGCTGCTCAGAAAGAGTCAAACGTGACGGTCGAGCACTGACAAACCCCCCTTAAGGGTCTATGCTCAAGGCGCCCCGTAGGGATCGCACAACAGACCTCAGTGGGACCCTGTTGCGGCACACACTTAGATCCATGCTCGCAAGAGTAGAGCGCTGGAACCTGGACCTGTCAACGGCATACCTTCACTGACTCAGCTCTTGCAAGCATTAATCTAAGTGCGTGTCGCCACAGAGTCCCACTGAGGGCTGTGGTGTGATCCCCATCGAGGGGCGAAGCGTATGCGCAGACCCATTTTGGGGGGATTCTCACTGACTTTCTTTCGTCCCTCTCGCGTGAACTTCATTCTGATTACCACTGGCTCGTTTCGTTCCGCTTGAGATTGCAGATCGAATGCCGCAGGGCCCACTGGCGAGCAATTCGTAAGCAAGCAACTGAGCTCTTTCCGGAGCAAAGGCAGGAGGACAGCCTTAGCTGTCTTCGGAGAATCCTCCACGCCGCTAAGTATTCGCATGTCATGAAAAAAGATGCGCGCCATGCCGCTAAATAATCTCTTTTGGTTCTTTTCTCTCCTGCTGTTGCTTTTCGTTTTCTAGGTCTTTGTTTCGTTTGCTAGAGGCTTTTTAGGTTTCAGGAAAACTTTTAGTCAGGTGCTAGGTATTCACTCGTACGTTTCACCCTGAGAAATTCATGCACGGTCTTGCTTTCCTTCTTTCCGGGGTTCTTTCCTCTTCTTCAGGTCTTCGTTCGTTGCTAGAGGCTTTCAGGTCTCAGGTAAACTTTTAGTCAAGGGTGTGCCGATTTCGGCTTTCTGACCAAGTGCACTTGGGCCTGAGCCAGCCACCCCACCCCTGCGCGAGAATTCACACTTCTTATTGCCCCCCCCTCTAAGTTGGGTAGCAGAAGGAAATCGCACTCAACACACTTGTGCGTTGGTGCCTTTGCTTCTGTTTCTCCTGTCCTAGTCTTTCCTACCCGGGCGGTCTAAGACTAAAGTCCCGCTTGCTAACTATTGCACTTAATTCATGCGGCTAAGTATTGAGTAACTAAAAGCTTTCGCAACTAGCGGGCCTTGTAACTACACCTACCTTTCTTTCTTGCCCTCTTCGTTTTCTATTTCTGTCTTTTCCTTTCTTTCTAAGGCTTGTTAGGTGGCTACTAAACGTCTTGAGCGCCGGTATCGGCATGGTGTGTGTGTGTGTGTCAACGCCTGTTTCTAAGGCTTTCGCACATTGCAAGTTAATTCAAAACCACTCAAATTCTTTTAAAGGCAGGCGGCACGAGGGCCGTTCACCTAGCCGTGCTAACAAAGCTATGGTGTTCGGCTGGAAGAGATACTGGACGCAGTACCTTGCACCTGTAAATTTTAAATAGTAGTCACACCCAAAAAACCTTTGTTAAACAATTCTGTTGAACCGACCCAGCACTCTTACAGTTCCTGCGAGTCAAGGTCTAGTTCCTTCAGCTCTTGCGAGCATCAATCTAAGTGTGTGTGCCAACTCCTGTTCCCAAGGAGTTCTATTTGTACAGAATTGCAGGGGGGTAATGAACATTTTGGAAGGCATTGCCCCACGAGGACGTGTCCATTGTGTTGTGAAATGACTTTGGGACGCCAAAGTCATGTACCTGCACCCATTTTTAGAATTTTTGCAATTTGACTTAAACCATATTGTTGTGATTGCGTTACCCGCTGCAGGAACTAGACCTTGACTCGCAGGAACTGTAAGAGTGCTGGGTCGGTTCAACAGAACTGTTTAACAAAGGTTTTGAGTGTGACTACAAATTAAATGTTTGCAGGTACAAGATACTGCTGCGTCCAGTATCTCTTCCAGCCGACCACCATAGCTTTGTTGGCGCGGCTAGGTGAACGGCCGCCACAGGGGGCCTTTAAAAGAGTTTGAGTGGTTTTGAATTAACTTGCAATGTGTGAAAGCCTTAGAAACAGGCGACGACACACGCGCACACACACGCACCTCTCAACCAAGCTGGTCACGCAGGGTGAACAACTGACGCACTTGGGTTGTTCCTTAATGTGAGACAAGACGCGACAACCAAGAAAGCAGAAAACACAACAAGAGCAGGAAAAGCATAGAAAGCCAGAAAAGCAGGAATACACGGCAACAAAGGTCATATGGAAAGCAACGGCAGCTACGAGATTGAAGCAGGGAAACAATACGTGGCAAGAGGACAAGACGCAGGACAGTAACAGGAGAAAAGCCTGGAAGAGCAACATAAGCGCAAAAGAAGCAGGAGAAAGCACAGGGAAGCAATGCAAAGCAGAGGAAGGCGAGACAAGCGCAAAAAGCAGGACATGCAAGACAAGCAGGGCGAATCATAATTACAAGCGAGAAAAGAAACAAAAAGCAACTCCCAAGAACATCCCTAAACGTGACCAAACATATCCCCCCAAAAATAACATTCCTTTTAGACATGGCCTTTAGGTGACCCGAACAGGATTTTCCTTTGCTTCGGCGGCGCCAAATATCGATTTGGACTTCCAGGGTCTAGGATTGAGTTGACGGACCAAGCTGAATGAAAACGCTGTCCAAGCTACAGCCTATCAATCAATCTCCTTCAATGATCTCAGGCAACCAAGTGGGACTCCAATCCAAGTTCGCAAAAAGTCGGTGGCACATACTGCTTGCAAAATGTATATATAGCTCTAGAAATACATAGTTAATATATATATATATATATATACATATACGAACCACTATACGAACCCATTTCAACCCATGAATCAATCAACCTCTCTACGCAGATCGAATTCGTTCTCCTTCCCTTCGCTCCGTGCAGCCCACCGGTCTCCTGCGTGCTCCAAACCCAGAAGCAAAGGCTCCGCTTCGAGCGACGGCTCCAGACCGCCGGGTCCCCCGGGTCCGCATCGGACGAGGACCTTGGGCCGGTTTTCAATTGGAACTGAGATTCATCTATGACTGTTCTAAAATGTCTTGAACTTCATGCTTCCACTTCATACCCTAACGGCCCTAACGACATCGATCTCCGGCTAGCTTGGGAAGTTCGCCCTTTCAGCTCCACTCTTCGCCTCGAGTTCTCCGCAGGGACTGGCGAAGGTGTCGTCGAGAACCTGCCGTGACCGCCTCGACTTTTCGTCGAAGGAGTCGAAGTGCATCCCATGAGAACATGTGAATGTGGCGTGTCTGCTCGGGACAGGCGGCAACAGGCGGAAGGAGGCGGAATCCAAACGGCTCATTCAGCGGTGGCACTGCTCAATCCAACCCACAATGCTGGTGCCTTGGGTGGCTTGGACTCGTCCAGCAATGTAGACTTCTTGAAATCCTCGCGCCCCATGAGGTCCGGAAAACCAAATCGTTGGATCGCAAAAGCCCTGGAAAGCTGCCATGAAATCTGAAGCGCCCTAAGTGCCCCACAAGAGTGTCCGGCAAGAGAGTTCTGCGAGAGTGTCCCACAAGAGTGTTCTACAAGGGCGCCCGGCACGAGTGTCCTACAAATGTGTCCCACGAGAGTGTCCCACAAGAGAATCCTACAAGAGTGTTCCGGAAGAGTGCCCCGCAAGAGTGTCCGACAAGAGTGCCCTAGGAGAGTGTCCCACAAGAGTGACATACAAGAGTGTCCCACCGAAAGTCGCACAAAGGTTTCCAAAAAGAATGCGCCCTACAAGCAAGAGTGTCTCCTACAAGAGTGTCAAAATTGTTTGGGTGTTTGTTTTGCATTCGGGTTCGTGGGTTCCATGTTGTTTTCCCAAGCAGTTTACTGTTGGGGTTCTATCTTAGAAAAGAAGGAGCTGGCCACACTCTGGCCCCTCCCCTGAACTCTGTGGCCGGGCTCTGTGGCCTGGTCTCGTCCTCCTCTTGTCTTCTCTTGTCCTGCACTTCTCTTGTCTTCTCGTGGCCGAACAAATAGCGATGTCGACGCCGACAAATCATAATGAAGCAGTTTTGCTCTTTGGGGGGGAGGTGCCAAGAATTCGTTTTTGATCTGACATTCGTCCAAATGAATCGTTTTGAAACTGTTTGGGGTCTATGTTGGTATAAATTATTTTCATTTATTTTCTTTTATGTGATTCTATATGCGCATGACGTGTTTGATTGCGTGGGTCAACCGAGAAGGCTAGCTGGGCCGGGGGAACTGAGCACCCTTGGCTTCAGTTATGTAGGACACTCTTTGTGGGACACTCTTGTGGGGCACTCTTGCGGGGCTCTCTTGTAACTCTTGTAGGACTCTCTTGTGGGAGATCCTTGCAGGACACTCTTGCGACACTCTTGTGGGCTCGTTTTGGAGACTTCCTCCACAACTCACAAGTCTCCAAAACGAGCGGTTCGTACGAGACGTCCTCGAAAAGTCACACCGAGCGTTTCGTCCGAGACTTCCTCAAAAACTCAAATGTCAAAGTCTGCAAAACGAGCGTTTCGTACGAGACTTCCTCAGAAACTCAAACGTCAAAGTCTGCAAAACGAGCGTTTCGTACGAGACTTCCTCCGGGAAGCCCCATCGGAGCACACACATCAAGCAGCCCTGCCAAGCAGTTTCGCGACTTCACTCCCTCCACACAACGCCCCCTCACACGCCAATCCCAATGTCACAGCGACGTTCACCTTCACCACAACTCGCAGCCTCACGATTTCCCGCGCGTGCCACGAAAATTTGCGCGTCCACACCTCCAACATGCACCAAAGTACTGCGTCTGCCGCGAAATGTCATCCCCGCCACACCTCGCAACCACACGACTCCCTGAGCCTGCCACGAAAATGGCACTTCCACACCTCAAAGCCTGCGCGAAGCACTGTGCCTGCCACAAAAAGGGCAAATATCGTATCATGGTAGCTTCAGCAAAATTTGCACCACACCACACGTTGGGAATGACTTCGGCGCGTTCAAAATCGCTACTTGAGCTGAGACTAGTCACGAAAGCACAGCTTCGAAGCAACGGCCTGAAACGCCAATCCCAATGTCACAGCCAGAAACACCACCCCCCACACGCCAATCCCAATGTGACTGCCCAAAAGACTGCCAATCTCACCTGCGGAGTGAATTCATCCTCCACACTTCATCCTCTCACTTTTCCACACGTTTCCTCGCTATTTCACGTCCTTCCAAAAGCTTCCCCCAATGTCAGCGCCATAGCGCCCCACTGCGGACGGTTGACAACGGTTGCGGTCGCTCAGACAATGAGTCGCGAACAAGGCTCTACCCCAGAGTTAACGCACTCGGGAAAACACACACCTCCCAGAAAACCGCATCGCTTCCGAATCGCCCGTCGAGTGGGCCGGTTCGTCCTCGTAGTCGTCGATCGTGGCATCGCGCTCTTTGAGGATCTCCTTCAACTCGGCCACCTCGAAAAGCGCAGCCGAGGAGGCGGACTGGTGGCTCTGGTGAATCGAGAAAGAGTGAATTCAAGTGGTCTGAGTCTCATCATGTCTCACAATAAATTCAATATGACATTGCTGGATCAACTTCTAAACTGTGCCATGATCCCCATGGATTTGGATGGCATAGCCTACTATGGGGAACACCCTGTAGCTTAGAGCGAGTGAAGCAAGCTCCTCTGCGGTTAGAGCCTGGCGCATGGCTTCGCTGAGCTGTTCCAGCTTCTCCTTCAACTGCTCATCTTGGTCATGGGCAGTGTCCTTCATTGCCTGCACTTGTGCCTGAGGAGCCAAATGCCATTTGCACCACTGGCAAGTGCACATGCAAGTCTCCCTGTCCCAACCTGGAGGTTTGCCAGTTGCTCACTGGCTGCATTCCGTTCCTCATTGAGTTTCGAATCCACTTCTTGGTTCTTTGACCTGAAGGCAATGCTGGCACAGCTGCTCGTAACAAAGCTGAGAACACAAGTATCACAAGCTCCATTCAGCCCCCGAATTCTGCTCACCAAGTGTTCCTAAGGTGTGAGGTAACACATTTTTTTACATCTCTTCTTCGCATGTCTTAACCTCAGCCCCAGTGGCCAAAGCTCTTTGCATTTTTCTTCACTTTCCAGGAACGACTTCCGGAGCCCTTCAGCCACGGCGGAGGCCTGGAGTGAGCTTGATCGGACAGGCCGAACAAAGACATCCTCATGGAACTGCCCTAAACTCCCTAAACGTAGAAAAAACTTCCACCACAGTTCCAGTTTGGGAGGTAACTCATGAGTCAGTGGACAGGGCTCGTTATTCTTGCTCATGCCAACTCGAGCTGCCACACCCACGACTTGTGTTTTGGGAGCAGAAGTTCTGGCCCCGAAAAAGGGAGTCGTAGCCATCTTCAAACCGATTGCCTGTGGGAAAAGGCGGAAGGAACCGTCATGAAGCACTCAACAAATCACCCCGGTAGTCGACAACCTTCACGTTCGACTTGATTCACTTGATGGAATCGCACTGGATATTTGCTGGGACTTCCGGAGGGGGGACATGGCAACAGCTACTGGACAAAAGGCTGCAGGACAGAGGCAGTTACCGATGATATGCAAATTATCTCTGGGCAGCTGCTTCAACTTTCTCTTTTGGCATGTTCTGGTTGATTGAACCCGCCAAGCCTCCAGGTGCTCGCTCTCCAACTCCTCGTCGAAGCAAGCGCAGAAACATGGGCAAAACCATGCGAAACCAGCAAAATCTATCCCATTCCTGCCTCTAATGCTTGCTTCAGCATCTGAAGCTGTGTCTGGCAAAAAGGGAAGAATATGACGAAGCACACGGTCAAACGTCTGAAGATCACAGCAAGGACCACGGGATTCCTAACCTATACACAAGGTGAGAAAACGCCTCCAGCTGGTCTCGCTGCGTCTCCAGCTCGCTGCCCTTTCTCCGTTCGTTCTCCAGCTCCTCCGTTCCACTTCTCACTGTCGGCGCAAAAGAACAACTCCAACCTGCTAGCAATGGCCTCCAACTTCATAGCAATGGCCTGCAACCTAATACGGTGGCCGTCCAACTTAATAGCGATAGCCTCCAACCTAATAGCAATGGCCTTCAACCCAATAGCAATGGCCTCCAACCTAATAGCAGTAGCCTCCAACCTAATAGCAGTAGCCTCCAACCCACTGGCGATGGCCTCCAACCTAGTAGCAATGGCCTCCAACTTCATAGCAATGGCCTGCACCTAATACGGTGGCCTCCAACCTAACCAAAGGAAGTTTAGTGTGCAAAACTTCCGTGTTACGGACATTCAACAGCTGTTCAACCACCACTCATCATACACCACTCATCTTACACCACTCATCATACACCGCTCATACACCAGCTCTGGTTTCAACAGCTCAAGCTCCAGGCAACTCCAGCTCCAGGTGCAGATTGCGTGGCAGGTGCAGCACTTTGTGAACCTCCATGTGCAGATTTCGTGGCAGGTGCAGCACTT